TAAAAAAATTTTGAGCAATAATAGTAGAATATTAATAATAATAAATCGGGTCTGTGCAATTGAGAAGAATATTGAATTGAGTTAAAGAAGGAAATGCAGAAAATAAGGGAATAGAAATAAAGGAGACGTGAAATACGCAAACAGTCTAATAGGCGTGTTTACGAACACAGAACAAGAATAAACGACTATGTGTGTATCGTTAAATTAGTAACAAAAAATAATTAAGAAAAAATAACTTATAATTGCAGTAAGATATGACGCTAGAATAAATGTTTGTGCAGTTATAGTTTAGAGTGATGCTATGAAAGTCTCAATTAAGTGAAAAGGATAATAAAATATCAATATGTATGAGTCATATATGCATAGTGAAGATAAAACGGGTCTGAGAATTTAATTTAAGTGTAACACAAGTTATTGTTTTAATTACAAACTTCGTAATCTTAAGAATAAATTTATTTAGAGGGAAAGAAGAGAGAAAAGAAGTGAACACCTAGTGAAAAGTTTTGATCCATGATAAGAATAATAATTGTGTAATGAATATCAACCTCAGAAGGAAACCAGCAATTGAAAAATAAAATAAAAATCCGTTAAAGCACTCGGATGAATACATTTAGATTTATGTAATAGTATACAGAGTGAAACCGGATATTAGTATAAATATTTGTGCAATAATAATTAAGATTGATGCTATGAAAGTCAAAATTGATTTTAAAGGACAATCTGGAGTTAAATATGTTTAGAAGGATAAGAAGATAAAAAGAATATCTAATGTGTCAGGGAACTAATAATGATATTAATAACGGAAATAATGATAAACACGAACATAATCAGATTTCATATATTAAGATAAATAGAAATAAAATAAAATAGATGTGGAAAGATTTAAAGGTTTTATTTTGCTTTTCAAGCAATTAAATGGATGACGGACCTTGTTTGTATAAATCATTATTGAATACATTGATATTCAATAGGTGACATAATCCACTTTCGGAAAGAAAATCGTCAAGGAGACTTTTGAACCGGGTTGTAGTTTCACTGCAACGGAGGTTCACTGGCAGTCTGTTCCACATGGTTGAGTAGCGAATAAGGAAAAAATTCTGACGTAAGTTTGTGTGGGTTCTTGGAATCGCTAGAATATTCTCCTTATTGCGTAGATTGTGGGATGATATCATAAGGTATGAAGGGGTGGATACCGAAGAGTAGGAAATACCGTTAATAAGCCGGTAGATAAAGACAAGATTTAATTTGATACGTCTGATCCAAAGAGGCTCTAAGTTGAGTTGTTGACATCTTTGGTAATAGTCTTTGTTATCGGAATACCCAGAACAGCTTTAGTGAACCTTCTTTGAACACCTTCAATTCTAATCAGTCAGTATGTCTACAATTACTGTAAACTAAAATACCATATTCAAGAATGGGTAAGATACATTTTCTGTATAGTAACAATCTCGATTCGATATTATTGAAGTTTATCATTATCAATCCGATGAGCTTTCTAGCTTTGGATACTTGAGATATAATGTGTTCAGAAAAGTTCAGACTGTTGCTATATCTTAAACCCAGGTCACGAACAGTGTTAAGAGGTTTGAGTGTATGTGTCTGTACAGTCAGATTTAAGTTAAGACAGCGACCAATGTGAATAAATCCACTTTTGTCAACATTAAGTGGCATATTCCACGAAATAGTCCATTCGTACAACTTGTTTATTTCCTCTTGGATTACCGCTGAAATATAGCTTTCTTTCGTGGGAGAAGAGAATGAATAAACTACTTTCAGGTCATCAGCAAAAAGAAAAGGCTTACCATACTGAAAGAGGGAACACACATCATTGATAAAAAGGAGAAAGAGTAATGGACCAACCACACTTCCTTGTATAACCCCACTGGTTACATTCACAGGTTTAGAGTAGCAAGATCCAAAGCGAACGATTTGGCTACGTTCTTCTAAAAAAGATTTGAGCCAAGATAAAAGGGGATTCTGTATGCCAAATGAAGAGAGTTTTAAAAGAAGAAGTTTGTGTGAGACACTGTCGAAAGCCTTACTAAAATCGAAGTAAAGAATTATCACTGACTGACCAACATCTCTTTTCTGGGTAATTTGATCAAAAAACTCCAGGTGCGATGTGAAACATGAGCGTTTAGTCATAAACCCGTGTTGGGATGGGCTGATCAGACTAGCCGAAAGTAAAAATGATAGTAGCTGTTTGTGGATGATTTTTTCCATGGTTCTTGAGAGCACGGATGTCAAATTAATTGGCCTATAGTTAATAATATCACTACGTGGTCCTGTTTTGAATCTAGGGGTGATAAGGGATGTTTTCCATACAGATGGATAGGTCCCATATTCCATAGATAGATTGAAAAGTTTCAAACAAAATAGTGGAAATTCTCTACTTCCATATTTCACAAATGATGAAGGTATCCCGTCAGGTCCACCATCATAAGACTTTTTCAGGGCAGCTATGGCCTGCTTGATGTTGGAGGGTGTAAAATCAATTTTCGACAGATGTCTGGATGTCAGCATTGGAAATGTAATGATGGAGTTTTCAGTTCCAGTTTTGTAGCACTGCGAGAAGTGCTTGCTGAATTGTTCACATATAGTATTCGGGTCGTTAACAATGCTTCCGTTAACTATGAAGAATTTAGTCGTGCCAAGGGAATTTGACTTTACACGGGATTTAAAAAGCCGAAGTATTGATAATTCTGGGCTTTTACTACGTAGAGCTTTATTTTCTATATTCATAAAATACTTACGTTTAGATGAAGCATTTCTGTTGATTAATTTAAGTATACTCTGAAGTGCATACACATCATTCTGCTCGTAGTAGCGGCATTTTAATTTCCTCAGCTTTCTTTTAAAAGTATTTTGGCCCCTATTAGCATTATAAGCCACACGGCCAATAACTGGAGCAGTGCAGTCAAGACAATATATCAGGTTGTGGTATAGATTGGAAAGCGCAATGTCAACATTATTTGTGGTAAAATAAGTTTCCCATGGTAAACATTGAATGAGAGTTCCAGTCCGTTTCCATGTTTGTTGATCAAAATGTCTGCTTTGGTACATCAATGAAGCTTTAGAGTTCAATTGTATGGCGTTTAAAGAGTGAATAATACCAATACAACTCTATGGTCACTCATAAAAAACTCATGACTGGTATGTACTGAGATAGAGTCTAGGTTGATTGTGTATTATTCCCCCTGGTTGGTTTTCGGACCTGTTGAACCCATCCACAAATTGTTATTCATTCTTTCCATATCTGCTTTTATTTCCCGACGCGATGTGTTCTTCGACCTTCCTCTTTTCCCGCTTCCTTCAGGATTCCAAGTTGGGGTTTGTCTCGTGATGCCGTTTGGCAATTTGCATAGTGTATGTCCTATCCATTTCCACCGTCGTTTCCTAATTTCCTCTTCAGCTGGAAGCTGGTTCGTTCTCTTCTAAAGAAGGCTATTGCTGATGGTATCCGGCCAATGGATGTTGAGTATCTTGCGAAGACAGCTATTTATAAATACTTGTACTTTCTTGATTGTGGTTGTTATAGTTCTCCAAGTTTCAGCTCCATACAGTAGAACTGCCTTGACGTTCGTATTGAAGATTCTCACTTTGATATTGGTTGACAGTTGTTTTGAGTTGAATATGTTCTTCAGTTGTAGGAATGCTGTCCTTGCTTTGCCAATCCTCGCCTTTACATCTGCATCTGAACCTCCTTGTTCATCGATTATGCTTCCCAGGTATGTGAAGGATTCTACAACTTCCAGATTTTTGCCATCAAGAGTGATTGGATTGTTATTCTCCGCTTTGAATTTGAGGATCCTGGTTTTCCTCTTGTGTATGCTGAGGCCTACTGATGCAGAGACTGCTGCTACACTGGCTGTCTTCGTCCGCATCTGTTCGTGTGCACGTGATAGGAGGGCTAGGTCATCTGCGAAGTTCAAATCGTCTAATTGATTCTGAGCTGTCCATTGTATTCCGTGTTTTCCTTCAGATGTTGAGGTCTTCATAATCCAGTCGACCACCAGAAGAATGAGGAAGGGAAAGAGTAAACAGCCTTGTCTGACTCCGGTCCTTACTTGGAATGCATCTGTCAGCTGTCCTCCATGCACGACTTTGCATTGTAGTCCGTCGTATGAGTTCCGGATAATATTAACAATCTTCTCATTAACTCTGTAGTGTCGAAGAAGTTTCCATAACGTCCTCCTATCTACACTGTAAAATCACTTTTCATAGTCAATGAAGTTGATGTATAGTGACGAGTTCCACTCAACTGATTGTTCGACGATGATCCGTAATGTTGCAATTCGGTCTGTGCACGAACGATCCTTACGGAATCCAGCTTGTTGATCTGGAAGTTGGGCGTCTACTGCATCTTTCATCCGGTTCAGCAACACTCTGTTAAAGACCTTCCCTGGTATTGACAGTAGTGTAATGCCTCTGTAGTTTACACATTTGCTCAGGTCTCTTTTATTTGGAATCTTGACGAAGTGCCCTTCTTTCCAGTTCATCGGCACTTGTTCCGCCTCCCAAATCTTTTTGAAGAGAAGGTAAAGCATGTTTGTAGTTACTTCGATGTCTGACTTCAGTGCTTCAGCTGGTACGTTGATTTCTTCCTTCGTTGGTGGGTTGACGTCTATGGGAAGATCTTTGTGTGCTGCTTCGATGTCCGGTGGATTCATTGGAGCCGGCCTATTCAGGAGTTCCTCGAAGTATTCTACCCATCTGTTCCGCTGTTGTTGAATTTCGGTGATTGGCCTGCTTTCTTTGTCTTTGACCGGTCTCTCGGGTTTGGTGTATTTCCCTGCCAGTTTCTTCGTTGTATCGTAAAGCTGTTTCATATTTCCTTCTTTAACAGCTTTTTCTGCCGTCGTTGCTAGTTCTTTCAAGTACTTCTTCTTGTCGGTTCTAACGCTCCTCTTCACTTGCTTGTTTGTTTCTGTGTATTCAGCTTGTGCTTGGACTTTCTCTGCTCGTGTTCGGCTGTTGTTAATTGCTGCCTTCTTGTTCTTCCTTTCTTTGATCTTGTCCAGTGTTTCTTTAGAGATCCATTCCTTATGATGGTGCTTCTTTAGGCTAAGAACCTCTTGACACGTTGAAGGTAATGCCTCTTTTATACCTTCCCATTTGTCGTCCATGGTAGTTTCTTCTTCCTTCAGTAGATCTTGTAAGGCTTGGAACCTGTTGTTGAGAGCTATCTTGAATTCATTGAGTTTGTCAGTTTCTCGAAGGAAGGCTGTATTGAACCTTTGTAGTGCTGTTTGTCCACTTGTCCAGTTCTTTTTCAGCTTCAGTTTTAAATTGGCTACAACTAGGTGGTGATCTGAAGCTATATCAGCACCTTTCCTGGTTCTCACATCTTTCATTGTCCTTCGGAATTTTTTATTGATTCAGATATGATATATCTGGTTCTCTGTAGTGTGGTTCGGTGCGATCCATGTAGCTTTATGTATACGTTTGTGTGGAAATATTGTGCCTCCTATGACCAATTTGTTGAATGCACACAGATTTGCAAACCTTTCTCCAGTTTCGTTTCTCTCTCCTAGTCCATGTCGTCCCATGATATCTTCATATCCAGTGTCGTCTATTCCAACTTTGGCACTTAGATCTCCCATCAGAATGGTGAGGTCCTTTCTTGGGCATTTCTCAATGATTGACTGCAGCCGCTCGTAGAACTGATCTTCAATGTCGTCGTTGCTATCATTGGTGGGTGCATAACATTGGATAATATTCATTAAGATCCCATCCTTCTTTGTTTTGACGATTCTGGATCCGTGAGATTCCCATCCTACAAGTGCATTTTGTGCTACTTTGGACAGCATTAGAGCGACTCCCTGAGTGTGTGGAGCATTTTCCTCTTCATGACCGGAGTATAGCAGCTCTCTCGTAGCTAGCCTTTTCTGTCCAGCTTGGGTCCAATGGGTTTCGCTGATTCCCAGTACTTCCAAGTTGTATCTCCTCATTTCCATTGCTATTTGACTGGTCTTCCCGGTTTCCCACATTGTTCGAACGTTCCATGTACCTATAAAAATTGTTTCTCTGGTTGTTAGAAGGGGCATCGACCTCGTGGCTTCCGAAGGAACTCAGCTTTCACCATGAAGCGTCATAAGTCTTTTAAATGAAGACTTTCAAACTCTCAATGAAGAGTTTAAATGGTTTGAATTGTTTTTCTGGTAAGCGTTTTTTAACGAGTTAGTTTTCTACGGGATTGGGACGCTAACCCCATGCTCAACCCTCCTTCTTTACTCGGACTTCGAACCGGCAGTAACTCTTGAAGAGCTAAAGGCTGAGTTACCTGACAATATACGAGATATTAAAAAAACCGCAAATATGCTTCACTTTCTATTCAAGAAGATTCGGGAGAAAAAAAAGTGCCAACTGAATTTTATTTAACCTAATCATGATCCTTAGAACAACAACTATGTCAAAGATGTAATAAGGATCAGTTTCAAGGACTAATCAAGAATACCTTAAGAAACTCATCGATTTAGTTGAAGGACAAAATACCATCATGAACGGTTTTTAACTATGTATAGGGATTTATAACAGTGATCATACATCATACAGACATTTCAAAGGCATTATCAGAAGAGAAAAAAATTGTTGGTATACATTAAAAGTTGTGACAATGAAATTTTTCTTACAGAGAGATCGTAACTGTTTGTTCTAGATATTCAAAGATCTACTTGTGAAATAATTCATATAGATTGGTATTTGTAAAGTTAGGAAAGATATATCAGTGTAATTAAAAGATACTATAAGGGTTTTTGTGGACATTGTAGTAATTTCAGTAGTTGAGATCATGAGTCAAATGAAGATAGACCACCATGAAAAACCTGGAAATACTGGACGGCCGTTTCGTCCTATTACGGAACTCCACAGCAATGCACATCCACGATCCCGCCCCTCGCGAGTTCCGAACACAGGACCTATCAGACTCGCGCGCGAGCGCTGAAGACATCGGTGTACCGTGGCGCAATTTCATGCATTGGTTGAAGTTAGACATTAACACCGTTGGATGTCCGCTCAGTGGTATAGTGGTAGGCCTCAGGTTCGATAACTCGCGGGAAGGGGTGGGATCGTGAATGTGCATTGTTGAGAAGTCCTACAGCGGAACGAAAAGCTGTCCAGTGTTTCCAGGTTTCACATGGTGGTTTATCTTGACTCATGATTTCAACTATTGAAATTACTATGTATATGAAAATGATCACCATCACATGATCCATGAAAAAAACTGAAAAAAAGAGAAAGAAAAAAAAGAAAACTGCATCGTAATGAACTCAAATATTAGATGATGTAACAACATTTAAAGTAATTAAAATATTTGAAAATGGGTCAATTTTAATCTCAAGAAATTATATTAAATTGAAATAACCACTGATTAGTCATATTGAATTTAGGATTAGAGAATAATAAAAGTACGTGATTTAGCTTTATATTTAGAAAGCAGATTCATTTAATTGTATTAATGGAATTTTAAATCTAACCTAATGACTACAGAGTGTATAGATTTGAATAGTTTCTAATGTTAATGGTCAATACAGTTACTTTATAATTATTCACTGATTTAGCGATGTAATCGATGCCTTGACAACTAATGATTTGAACTATAAGAATCTTCAATATTTTCGTTCTTTTTTGTTTTATATCAAAACTGTATTTCCAGATAAATCATGGATTTTGGTCTCGAGATTTAGGTTACAATCAGGTTTGTGAATGACAGTCTTTGAATTGATTCTATAGTGTTCATAGCTATTCTGAATCTTAACATGAGGGATATAATAAATATCAGTATAAGGGTTGTGTAGATTATTAAGTTTTTGATTGAGATCATGAACCAATCGATGTGAGACCATCAATGGAAACAAGGAAGCACTGGACGACCGTTTCGTCCCATTGTGGGACCTCTCAGCAGTGCGTATCCACGATCCCACTCACAGGACTGGAACTCAGGTCCTTCAGTCTCACGCGCGAATGCTTAACCTAGTGGACCAACGAGTCAGCACCCAATGGTGTTAATGTCTAATCTCAACCAATGCATGAAATTGCGTGACCATCTTCCATCGTACTGTCTCTATCCAACGCGGATTAGTTCCACTGGTCACTGCTTCTTACTAGAACTCCAAGAATTCCCTCAAGAAGCTAGTTCCCAATGAGCACATGGTAATAATTATCAGTATAGAGTTGTGGAGATTATTAAGTTTTTTTTATTGGATGCGCACTGTCAAGGAGGAGTCCCACAATAGGACGAAACGGCCGTCCAATGCTTCCATTTTTTCAGTGGTGGTATAACATCAATCAGTTCATAATCTCAATTGGAAATAATAAACTTAATTTAACTGATTCTGTCGTACTGAAACTGTAAATTACGTCAAGTAATGTACATAAGACAGATTTTTTGACATGAAATTGGAGTATACAAACGTGATTGAGATAACCGCGAAGTATTTGAAGCCAGTTCTTAGTTAATACTTTATGAAAAAGAAAGATTTCAAATCTTTTTAAAGTTAGACTGGCAGTTTGTTAAAAAAAAATCAACGACATGAAAAACTCAACATTGAGGATATAGATCATTTGACTTTCATAATTCTTAAAAGGAACCCAAAGAAGATTTTACAGAATATGAAGTTTATGGTTAGGATTCCCCCCATGATCTGACATCAGCTATTATGTGAAAATATTGTTTAGCCAAATGAATGAATGAATTTGACTCAGAAATGAAAGAGGCTCTATTGGATTAGTTAATCTATAAAACATGGTACAATCAGGTCAATGTTTGTTTTGCGATTATGAGTTTGAGTTTAGGATTTAGGTATCAGGTTGATATACTTGTTATAGATAATTCCGATAATGAGAGAATCAAATACATAATTATTTCAACCCCATTTTTTACTTTATAAAGGATACTATATAAGCGCCAATTATTCCTTATACTTGGAACAAGGAATCATTACAACCTGTCATGGGGTACCAGTTCCCTCAAGATTACAGGTATACCATGCTGACGGATGCCAGATAGCGCGAAACCCGGGTACAGGGTTTCTTATTGACTACCTCTAACCACCATCTTATCTCAACATAATGCACACAATGTTGAATCACCTATATTAATGGCCTCATTGCTACTTGATCGATAGCATTCGATCTGCACTAAGAACGACCTGACACACATGACTTTTCTCACCCACCACCCAGTGATCAATCAAGTGACATTTTATTCACCCTGAAAACCAAGAATACATTCATTCTATATTGATTTGTACATACATTTGACCATAAATTAAAAAAAATATTATGTCATATATACAAAAAATGCTCAGAATCATAAACAGTTCACATATTACATGTCACATGAATTTAATACAATGAATAGTACGTCTTTAATAACCATCATAAATGAAATAAATCAATATTATATAATAAATAAAATATCATATCGAATTAGAAACGGGTTGTAATGTTGAACAAGGATCGACGAGACTATAATTTATGGACGACCTTTGAACGAATCTTAAGTACCCTTGAGAAATATTAATCAATTAGAAGGCAGTCAGTATAGAGTAAAATATATATTACACAAAACTAAGGAATTAAAGTGAATACACTTCTTTTACATGGTTCCAAAAATTTTCCAAGGTTAGAAAGAGGTTCAGAGGTTTTAAAATCGTGATGTATAAGATAGAGGTAATCAATTATATAGCTCCATAATAGTTCGCCTCGGGAAGTATGATAAGATCAAAAAAAATCTTTCAGCCTCGAACACATAGCTTCAATACTATTTGTATGCACTCCAGCTGTTGGGTCCACAAAATGCCACTTATGGATGACGACACGATGCACATAACTATGTGTATATAGGCGTCTGTACACACTTCAATCATGCTTATATACTGTACTACCTGGCTGTAGCCATTGTCAAAGGTGTTTTAGTTATCCAGTTCGAAGCGGTTGTCATAATTTGCCTTAGTTTTAAGTTGAATGGAACGAAGACATCCTATCTTGACAAACTTATTCCTCCAACACATATTACATCTAAAGATAACATTATCGCGGTAGTCTGAACAAAGTCCACAAGTCATTTGACTACCAAAATCATAAATAAAGGATGTTCTTAGTAGTCCCATGTATTTCAGCCGTTAAACTATCACGTTTTGTCTAAAGTCCTCTGTGAACCGATCGTGCGTTAGAATCAGGTACTGAAACTGGTGTTGTGACAGTGAAATCCCTCAAATGATTCTGATTGACTTGTCTATAAATGATAGTCTAGTCCAAGAATCAGAATTATTTTTCAATGTAAACATATCATTTCGTGTCGACATATCAGTGAGAAGAAACCTTTTCACCATCGTTTTAAACACTTTTGAAAGTGTTTTTTTCATTTGGAATAATTGAATTCAGCGGATAAGCCTAAAACTCACATTCTAAGTTTT